TTCTATAATATTGAATGCTGAGTTAAGATAATAGCATGAATGTGTAATGAATAGAGCCCACTCTGGCTATAGATCAGGAGCACAAGTGGAGGACATGAATTATTATGTTGGAAAGATTGGGCAGTCATGAGTACAGGTATATTCTAGGTGGTGGTTTGGAATGAGACTAAGGAATCCTTGGAAATCAGATGGTGAGGGATTTTATATAGAGGTTCGGACAGGTAACCTACATAAATATAATGCTGCAGGGCAAAAGGTTGGGAAGCAAGTTGTTAAGAACTTTGTGTTCTTTTAGAATTGTTCACGTTTTTTATGGGGCATAGTATCAAGGACATGAATACTTTTAAGGTATCTATTTCATTATTATAATTTTGAGCAGATTTTCTCTGAATCTTATCTTTTAAATGGAGGTACTACCTACATCATGTAATAGTTGTGAATTAATGTATAAAAAATGCTTTAGCATAGTACCTCACACATAAGCTCAATGAAAGACCTATAGTCATAATAATCTCATCATAATCCTCTTTTCCAATGAGGAAAGAAGAATCAAAGGGGTTAAATATTTTGCTGAAAGTCACAGAAATAGCGGACAGTGAAACTGTGAGTGATGCCCAGGTCCTAATTCTAGTCTGGGGTTATTCCCATTATATCCAAATATATCACAGATTTTAGGAAGATTTTAGTACTGTTTTTTAGCAGCGTCATCATGTGTACCGTGGACTATATGTTATATATACGATAGTATGGTTTAAAAATCCATCTCAGAACAAGTTAGGGTCAACTACTGTTAGGAACTACTAGAGAGCTAGATGTTATGTTGCACTATATGTCTGGGTAATCTCACTCATTTTCAGACTTCTAAATTGATTTTAAATCTGCAAACTGATTTCTCCAAATCTGGTATTTCTATTCTCCTTTTTCTTAAAAAATACCATTCCTTTTGAAAAACTTCAGCTCTGTGTGTATTGAATTTTGTCATAGCTGTTGGGGCAAAGATAGGGTTAGTCTGACAAGGAATAGGATCTCAAATATTTCATGAGCAGAGTTTATTCATGTTAATGTACTGGGGAGGAAAACAAACCAATAATCCATTGGTTTGTTAGACTGTTTTAAATGTGTCACAAATGCCTTTGTGAATATAATGTAAAAACTGATAACCCTTTCCCTAGAAAAGATGTTAAGCACCAAGTTTTAGATAGAATTCTAAAGTGTCATTTAGGCCTTGGATTATTAAGAAATTTTGGCTTAAACAATATTCACCTCAAGAATGTGTTTTTAATATTTAAGATTGAAAATGAGCATTTCTCATAAAACAACATTGTGAAAATCTGATTCAGTAAATGCTAAATTGTCAAGCTTTTCTAGCTCATGTCTTATTTCCATCTTGGCTTAGACATAATCACCTTTCTTATTTTTTTAAAGGACCAAACCAAGTATAACTGACTTTTTCTGTTCTCCCTGCAGGCTCATTTTAAATCTGATTTCCATAGGGACATAGTGGTGACTAAATGTTTAGTTGGTAGAGGAAAACTCTAAGCTTCTCTTGGTTTAAACAGGCATTAATAATGTCCCAAAGATATGTGTGCTACACACAAATGAGCAAAACCTAGAACACAAAGAGCACAGCGGTTGAAAACAGACGTTATTACAAAAATTGAACATGACTTTTTGGATGTGGGAGACTTTTTGGATATGTGGAAAACTCTGCCATTTAACACGTATTTTATTTTAACTAGTCTCGTGCCAGCCTTGTGCTCTCTCACCTAAGAGCTTTTACTATGATACTCAAGCAATTCTAAGAAGTACTTCTTACGGTTATTTTTTGACTGAGATAGTAGGGTTCTGGGAGGGGAAGAAGGAAGGATGGGATTTGCTACTCACTTTGAGTAGATTTCATGCAGCTAGGAGGTTCCTGCTGTGATAGCAGTTTCCCATCCTCTGTCAGCCAACCAGAGATACACTTAGGCGCTTAGGTGATGTTTTCATATTTGACTTATCAAAAGAATAACCTGAGGCCCTTCTTAAAAATAAGGATTCTTGGGGCGCCTGGGTGGCTTGAAGCCTGTTAAGTATCCGATTCTCAATAGGTCACGATCTCACCTGCAGGTCCTGCGTGAGTTCGGCGCCTCGGCCAGGCTTCCTGGGCTGATGGGCTCAGAGCCTGCTGTTTCCCATTCTGTGTCTCCCTCTCTCTCTGCCCCTCCCCCGTTCATGCTCTGTCTCTCTCTGTCCCAAAAATAAATAAACGTTGAAAAAAAAAAAAAATAAGGATTCTTGGGGCTTGGGTATGCGAGTCGGTTGCTGTCCGACCACTTCAGCTACAGGTTGAAGGCCACTGGCTCTGTGGAAGTTCAGAGCCTGAGATCAGGCTGTATTGATGGTCGGAGCTTGGTCAAGAGCCCTTCTGTGTCTCCCCTCTCTCCCTGCCCCTCCCCCGTTCATGCTCTGTCTCTCTCTGTCCCAAAAATAAATAAACGTTGAAAAAAAAAAAAAATAAGGATTCTTGGGATTCACCCAGACCTGTTCCCGAGGGAGAAGCATGGGAGTCTGAATTTTTAACCATCTCTCAATGTCAGTCCTCTTTACATTGAAAAAGGATTCTGAATATAAATCCCATTTAGTTTCTGGGTTTTGCCTGGCTTGGGGAAGAAACAAACAAGAAAATGATGGTGAAGAAGGGGACTCAATTAATTACCTTAAATCAGACTTCATTGCTTACCTAGACTTTCTTTCAGAAGATAGATTGAAACCAAATTGGAAAGGGCCTTAGATACCTGGATAAAGGATTTTGGATTTTATCCTGTTGTACTAGTGATCTCCAAAATGAATGTACATTATAAAGTGTGGAAATTTGAGAAGAAACCTGCTTATATATTTTAATCAAAAAAAGAAACTAAGTTTTGCTAATATTTGATAAGTGGTCAGAAGTAAAAAATATATGTAGAGATACCTTTTAAGGGTAACACTTCCATGAAAAGTGTTCCGTAACTACTGTGAATTATAGTAGCCGGTATGCACAGATGTTTTTATTTACGAATTTAAACTGACGTGTAACCCTAACAAAATGAACACATGTCGTAAAAAAGGTTGAAAACAGTGATAAAAGTGCAAATTAACATGGTAATGGTAAAGCTAACATTTATACTCCTAGTTTAATCTGTGAGCCGGGTGACAATGCAGAAACAGTGGTAAATAGATCTCACAAGAAGTTGCTCCTCCCCCAAAATTCAGAATTATTGAAAGGGTGACATTAAATAGGAGCTTGTATCTACTGTCATTTGTGGGTTTACTGTGCTCTAGGTACATACTGGGTCTTAAAATGTTAACTAATAATGGTATGGAACCATAACCGTTCAAACATTTAAAAATACTGCTTATTTTATCTTTATTTAAGGCTTTTTATTTGTTTTACTGTATATTTTGTAAAGTATTGGTTTGCTGATATTGTATTTCTGAATATAATGCTTAAGTAATTTGAGAGACACAAAAAAGTTTTGGAGATCATTATTCATGAAGCTGTTTTGAGGAGAGCTCTAAGAAGTTGACTTGGGTTGAGGAAAGTACATGGAGCCTGAATGTGTGTCCTAGTGCTTTAACCAGAGGAGCTCTGTCTTTATCTTTTTCTACATAAAGATACTTAGTAAAATTTTGTTTGTAAAAAGAGTTCTGCTGGATTTTTTAAAATATTTCAAAACCTCTTTTGTATATGGTGGGAGTCACAGAAGGTTTTTGAATGAAAGGAGTCACATGATGAAATTTTAGAATACCTGGTGGCAAATTTGACTTCCAGGAAGCATAGCTAGGCAGAAGCGAGAACACAGCTTTCCAGCTGTTCTTCTTACCTGATCACACAACAAAAAATCTAAGGCCTGGGTTAGTTGAAGGATATTTTCACTTACAGATTAGAGCTATCAAAGTATTGAAGTGTTTTCATTCTGAAGACTTTGTAAATCTGCAGCTTACTTTGAGTTTTACATTTTTTTCATATCACATCATAATCAGAAGTATTAGTCAGGTGAATAATTCTTAATTATAAGGTATTTTTGTACATTATATACTTGACAATTGGGATATAAACTCATGTATTTTTTTAAGTGTGTATTTTCTAAAAATCAAAGTTTTAGCCATATTAACCTTCAATTATTATATATCTTTTAAAAATTGGCATTTCATTTGAGTGTTGCATTATGATTTTTGTGTTTAAATTTGTCCATGTTTTAATTTAAACCCAAACTTTAGTTTTAATAAAGGGGTTGACAGCTTTTTCCAAAAAGTGTAATTAACTTTTTGGTAGGTATACAATTAAGAACATTTGTAGAAAAACACGTAACCCTGGGGTTCTTAATTTTTCTACAACCTAAGCTGCTGAAATAGGTGCTAGACTTATTAACAATAAGAAACAACTTATTGGTAGGACTTAGGGTATCTTCATTTCATCATTGTTTTGAATTCCTTCATATCCTGAAGGCTTTTCCAGATTCAGGAGAGGGGGGCAAAAATAGAAAGGGTTAAACTAAATTGTTCTCAGCTATTAGTCAGTCTGCTTGCAACCAGTTGACAACCAGGTTAAAGGAAAAGATAAAGTTGTAGGTGGTAGGTGGTTAGTGGGTGAAATAGCTGACTTTCTAGAAACCAAAGATGTAGATGATTAGAATGTCTACATTACAGTTTGGCCAAAAATGGCTAGACTTTCTGTTAAACATGATCTTAGTACATGAACCAGATCGCTAACCCGTTTTAATATTTTTTGTTTTAGAAAATTGCTCAATATCATTTTAGTACCAAAGCTATTCCATTGCCAGTATATTACTAAAGTTCCAATGGATAACAAAATACAGTTACATGATGTCAATTGAGTATGCATTATTTGCACTTATCAGAGGGCATTTGTCATCGCTGTACTGTTTCCTGTCCTCTTGATTTCTGTTTATACTTCGTAGTTACTTCTTTTCTAGCTTTTCTAGTATGGTGATGTAGAAATCTTTGTTTTTAAACAGGATACATTAATTGTTTGGTCAGAGGCTGAGAACTATGATCTGGCTCTAAGTTTTCAGGAAAAAGCTGGCTGCGACGAGATTTGGGAAAAAATTTGTCAGGTAAGGTTTTTTTGTTGTTTTTTTTTTTTTTAATAATGTTTAAGTGTGCATTTTTTATTTTTTTTTTCTTGTTACCTGAAGATATATATTAGGATGTGGAGATAGGCGCCTGGGTGGCTCAGTTGGTAAGCCTCCAACTCTTGATTTAGGCTTGGGTCATGATCTCATGGTTTGTGAGATTGAGCCCAATGTTGAGCTCTGCGCTGACAGAGCAAAGCCTACTTGGGATTCTGTCTCTGCCTCTCTCTCTGCCTTCCCCCTTTCCGCACTATCCCTCTCTCTCTGTTTCTCAAAATAAATAAATAAACTTTTAAAAAAATGTGGAGAGAGAATGTTTTACCACTTTAGATTTTTATAGTATATATTCATAATAAAAGGTCAGGATATTTTAAAAAACAAAAAAAAGATTAATTATGTTCTAAATCCTTGAGGTTTTTCCTTAATATTTGGTCACCTGTTTGCCTAATGTTTATGAATACTGTGTGCCAGACACTAATCATCAAAAGTGCTCATGACTTCTGGGGTGCCTGGATAGTTCAGTTGGTTAAGCATTCAACTCTTGATCTCAGGGTTGTGAGTTAAGCCCTGAGTTGGGCTTCCTGCTGGGCATGAAATTTACTTTAAAAATTTTTAAAAAAAGGGGCGCCTAGGTGGCTCAGGTCATGATCTCCCGGTCTGTGGGTTGGAGCCCTGCATTGGACTCTGTGCTGATGATACTTCAGAGCCTGGAGCATGCTTCAGATTCTGTTTCTCCTTCTTTCTGCCCTCCCTCACCCCCCCCATCCCCCCCCCGTACTCTCTCTCTCTCAAAAATAAATAAAGATTAAAAGTATTTTTTAAAAATTAAAGAAGGCAACAAAAGTGTTCATGACTTCAGTTCTTAAAGAGCTTACAGTATAGCAGAATATAAGAGGTGATAACTCTCAGATAACTGGAACTTATTTTAATTAAGGTTTTATTTTAGAAGTTTCATATTTGCAGAAAATATGAGTAGAAAATACAGAGTTTCTATGTACTCCCCTCCCTAACACCTTCTCGCACTTTCTCCTATTAGTAGTCTCTTATACTAGGATACAGTAGTCACAATTAATGAGCAAATATTCATACATTATTATTCATTATTATTAGTCATACATTTATTAGCTAAAGGCCATACTGTATTCAGATTTCTGTTTTCTCTTCCAGGATCCCATTCAAGATACCACATTACATTTAGTAATTATGTCTCCTTAAGCAAACTATCTCTAATATCTGGTAACTGGAATTTTAAGTTAATCATAACATTAATTTTAACTACTATTCTGTAAATGGAATCACTGTGTTTTAGTGGTTGCCTAGCATAATACTCTCTTACGGTGTTTTTTATCTATTGTCATTTTCACTTCTATCAGCTCTTCATTCTAGTGATTCTGATCCCTGAAGGTTCTTAAGTTAGTTTATGCATCTGACCACAGTCATTTTTTTCCTTAGTCCTCCTAGGAACAGTGCCACACAGTGCAATAAGGTAGCCCAAGAAAGTATAATGTGAATCTTCCCATTCCATATAAAGCTTATTTGACGGATGGCTCTGGGTCACAAAGCTAAACTGGAAGTAGATGGTTTGTTTCTTTCCACCTCATATTTTACTATGTGTGTATCATGTATTACGGGAGAATTATTAGTATATGGTTTTAAATAGAATTTCCATTGATGAATAGAGGAAAACACTGCTAAATATGATTTTTGCTTTAATTTGTAAAATATACATAAGAATATAATCCAGATTGGTTTGCTCCTATTTTGCTGTCATGTTTTCCCATTTTTAAACCTATAGATGGTGATGATGAGAAGGTCCTAATATTTACCTTTTTTTTCTTGTGTGCGCTCCATAGATTGAGATTGAATTTTATGTTTGCAAAGTTTTCTTTGAAGTGAAATGTAAGACCTAAAAATGACCTCTATTGCAGACTTAGACATATGCAGTCCACTAATATTTGCTGCTCTGTTCTAGATTCAATAAATTTGAATCCTGCAAGCACTCATCCACAAAATGGAGGAAAAAACTGATCCATAAAAATAATGAAAGCATAACAAAGGATATAAAACTTTCAAAATAAAAGGACAAGATTACTTTTCTATAACATTTATAACACCATTCAGAATATTAATAGTATATAAAAACTAACCTTTTTACTGTAAATTCCTGAAAAGTGGTATTTTGTATTCTCCCTCCTCCAGTATACCAGCATGGCACCTGGCACATGTTATGTGTGTACTCCATACATATTTAAAGAATAAGTGAATAAAATAGAAGGTAAACATCTTCTTTAGAACTAGAATGTTGAATACATTTCTTCTAGAACATAAATTTGTGTGGTAGATAATATTTTCCAGTGATCATCACATTAGGTTATGCATACTCCATTTCTCCCCTCCCCTCACCTCAGAATGTACTGTGTAATATATGTTTCTGGATATACGTGTATTCTTAAAGACTTTGTACATTTGTCCTAGAAATTTTTGCTGAAATTTATTTCTTACTGTTTTCACTCATGCAGTTCAGGAGGTCCCTCAACCAGGCAGGTTCACTAATTCACTAGAAAGACTCACAGAACTCCACAAAGCTGTTACATTCATCATTACAGTTTATTACAACAAAGTGATACAGATTAAAATTACCAGTAGGAAGAGGCACATAGGGCGGGGTCTAGGCATGAACTTCCAGTTTTCTTTTTTAGGATACTTAGGCAGACAGCACTTTCTTCTCCCTGCACTGATGTGTGGCAACCTGCACGTAGTATCGCTGACCAGAACAGCTTACCTAAACCTTTGTGTCCAGCATTTTTATTGGGTGTTATTCCTATAAGCAGGCTGACTGCCCTGTGGCAGACTTCAGTTTCCAGCACCTCCAGAGGTTCAGCTGATACTACGTGGCCCAAGACATCCACTATAAACCACCTAGTTACCCACACAGAGCATATCTGGCATAGCCCAAGGCTCCCAGGTACACATCAAACAGGATATTCAGAGTGCTTAGAGATTACCTCTTAGGAGCTAGGCAAGGGCCAGATCCCTTTAGGCAAGACTAATCCTTGATTGCAAAGGACACCCCTTGGTCCATTGCCAAGACTCTCACAACAAAATGATCATATTTCTCTAAATGTCTGTATTTAATATAGCATTTATATGACAGAGCAACTATCAGTATGAATATGCCTAGTATTTGGAGGAGCAGTCCTGGAGTAGAGCTGGATTTAAGAAACAACTAATTTGTCTGATAAAGCCATGATTTACCTTTTATATTTTTATACTGATTTGATTACTCATTTTCCTCCTTGATCTGTAATTTGTACCTTATGATATACTTGTACAGGAGTGTTTCACATAGAAATTAACTGGTGGTTTACAAAATCCATTTCTTCCTCCTGCCAGTCATTTTCTATCAGCATTCATGTTGAGCAGCCTTTAACTCAGTCTCCTAATACATTTAATCATCAATACTAATTTTACCATGAGGCTTATGTACATAGGGTAGTTGGATCAACAATGCTAGTATTACACCATATTGTGGTATGGTAGTAGATGTATCTGAAAAGTACGGCACATTACTAGAATCATTAATTTGGTCACTAACAATTGTTTCAGTGTATCATTATATTATATGACAAAATGTCTCCCAGAGTGGTGTAACTCATCAGGTTTAATTACAGGCCTCCATTCAACTTTGTCAAGTCCCAAGAATAGGTGATCTTGGCAAACATATGGTTTTTACCCTTCCAGGCATCTGATAAAATTGAGCTAAGAGAATGTCATCTCTTGCTCTGATCCTTTCTTGAGGTAGTAGTAGTATTAATATTGGATGCTTCTTGTTGCTTTACCCATTTATTCATTCCTTTGCCCTTAGTTACTCTTTCTTCTACCCATTTGCCAGTGATTTTTACTCACGCTTTTCTGCCTTTGGAAACTTCTGCCAAACGCCTTTGGAAGGGGCATTAGATTTGGCCACTCTCCTGGTCCAAGAAGTTTAATTTTTTGCTAAACAACTGAGTTGTACTGTACTTTTTAAATCTGTGCATGTTGCTGAATATACAGCTAGTTTATTGCTCCTCATTACTGCATGGTATTCCACAGAACTATATATTTTACTCTTCATTGAGGTCATTGCTGACCTTTGAAAAAACAATTTCAACAAAAACATTACACAGTTATTTTTTTAACACCTTATAATGAGAAAGTAGAACTCCTCTCTGAAAAGTTTGACGGCTCAGAGAGCAATAAATTATAAGAAGAGCAAAGATAATTTCTGTGTGTGTGTGTGTGTGTGTGTGTGTGTGTGTGTGTGTATATCTTTCAGAAAACATAAAATCAAAAGTGCATATGGAAGTTTTAACCTCAGAAAATGGTAGGATAGGGACATTTTCTTTGAAAGAGATGATGGAAATGAGTGAAGATAAGTTGTAAGATGGAGAAGAAGGATGTTGGGAGTATGTTGAGTACTGGTGATCTCTTTTTCAAAGGAGAAAAGTCTCTCTTCTGAGACTTAAAGGGGAAAGTAATAGTGTTTGACACTTAAAAAGGGGAAAAAATTAAAGCAGCAAATGTAAGGATGTAGGATAGGAGTGTGGGAAAAAACATTTTTGTTGAGAACCCTACTGATAGTGTAAATTTTTTATGCACCCACTCAGCATAGTAGTTGACTGACTTTAAGAATGTTAAGGTTAGATTGTGGGTTTTGTTTTTCTTTTAAAGCTTTTCTTTCCTTTTTTTTTCGTTTTTTGTTTTAATATTTACTCAGAATGAGGAGCAAGAGCAAAGGAAGAGCAGAGAGAGAGGGAAAGAGAGAATTTCAAGCAGGCTCCATGCTCAGCACAGAGCCCGATGTAGGGCTTGATCTCACGAACTGTGAGCTCATGACCTGAGCCAAAATCAAAAGTCAGACACCCAACCAGCTGAGCCACCCAGGCAACCCCAGATTGTGTTATAGTAACAAAATCCTAAAATAGTGGCTTATCACAACAGTAGTTTGTTTTTCCTTACTGCTATTTGATGAATGAGGGTTAGAGTTGGACAAGAGGGGGCTGTGCTTATCAGAGCCACTCAGAGACCCAGGCTGATAGAGAATTGATTTTGATACTTTCAAGCTAATTGCAATGTGAGAATGACAGGTGGCAAATCAGAACAATGGCTTTTAGAAGGTCTTCCCAGAAGTTACACATGACACTTAGCTCACATTTCATTGGCCAAAATAAATCACACAGCTACATACAACTTCATGGAAGCAAAGAACTCATGTGCCACAAAAAGGAGAAAACCAGAAATGCTTAGTGAGCAACACTCTTGATATCCAGACAAATACTTTGATGTATGTGGGATTGACAGATCTGTCTGATATAATCTGTCAGTGAGAGTTAAATTTAGGAGAGAGTCCAGGAAGCTTGTAAGGATAATACTAGATAATGTAGAAACATACTATAACATAGTGAATGCTTCTGTAGCTTTGCTTTTGTTCTTAAACATATGCAAACTATTCATTTGCAGTGTAAGTTGAATCCTCCTATTTCCTCTTTTTTTTTTTGTTTTTGTTTTTGTTTTGTTGTTGTTCCTACGATTTTATTTTTAAGTAATCTCTACACCCAACTTGGGGCTCAAACTCCCAACCCTGAGATCAAGAGTTGCACACTCCACTGACTGAGCCAGCCAGCCACCCTTCCTCTGATTTCTTCTTATTCTTTCCTTGTAACATCTGATTATTCTTCTTCCCTCCCTACCTCATGCTCTACTTCTGTTTCTATGGTTACCCTTAGTTACCCTAATACCAAATTTCTGTTTTCTGTCCTATTTTTCCTGAGTAGTAGGCCCACAGATTTAGTTGCCAGCTGGGTATTCAAACACCTCAAACTTAACAAAACTGACCTTTTATTAACCATTCCTCTCCATGCTCCCAGTTTTTGTTAAAGGAGCCTTAATCTTCTTAATGACAGATTTAAAACTATAGAGTTATTTGTGGTTCTTCCTCTCTCTTACACCTGTCCCTCATCTGTCTCAACATCACTATCTAAATTCAGTTCTTCATGTAGACTTCAGAATAACACCCTAATTTGTCTTTATTCTCAAATTTATTCCATACAACTGATGCCTTACTTTCTAAAGGACAGTACTGCACATTCACTTCCCTTGACTTTCCATAATCTGGCTTTAGTCTGCATTCCCAGTTTTGCTGTTGGCCATATGCATACCACACATTTCTCTCTCTCCGACTCTATTCCCTTTGTACTTTGTATACCTTTATCCCCATCTGAATCTTACCCATCTTTGAAGGTCCAAATGCCACTACTTTTATGATTTCTTCTTATATTCTGTCTTCACCACCCCCTTTACTCCCAGGAGTGGGAAGGAATTTCCCTTCCTCTGAATTTCCATGGCATTTTATCTGAACTGCTCTTATGACCTTGTTACTTAAACTTTCTCCTACATTTGCGTGTCAGTCTCCCTAAGCCCAGCTCCTCTGTTGAGAACTCAGAAATAAAAGAAGTACGCTCATGCTCTAGGAGAAAAAGTCTCTTATATGCATCAGTATATTTACTTTCTCTAATAAGTCCTTAGATCTTTTTTCATATGTTGCTTTGGTAGACTTGGAAATTTGTGGAGCTTTTTCATCTCAGGATATTTGGATGTTTTGAGGTGAAAAGAGGATAATTGCACTCTTGTGTTAAGAATTAGGAAAAAATTTATGAAGAGTAAAGTTTTTATGTTAAATAGAGTCATTATAGAAATCATTATAGGGGCACCTAGGTGTCTCAGTAGGTTGAGCATCTAACTTCAGCTCAGGTCATGATCTTGCAGTTCCCTCACGCTTTGCCTCCCTCTTCCCTCACTCTTTGCCACTCCCCTGCTTGCATTCTGTCTCTCTCTCTCAAAAATAAAACATTAAAAAAAAATTTTTTTTAAAGGTGTCATTATAGGAAACTTGTCCCAAGTTTGCCATGCTTTTCTTGAGCTATCAACCTGAATCATAAAACAGTTGTTTATTCATTGTGTTTTCTAGATACTAGAACTTGGAGGCTTTTATCACAGATGTTAAATAAATGCCAATTAAAAAAAAAATCTGTTTTTAACTTTTAAAAATTTTTTATTATTTTTTTTTATGTTTATTTAATTTTGAGAGAGACAGTGCAAGCAGGGAAGGAGCAGAGAGAGAGGGAGACACAGAATACAAAGCAATCTCCAGGCTCTGAGCTGTCAGCACAGAGCCGGTTGCGTGGCTCGAACCCACAAGCTGTGAGATCATGACCTGAGCTGAAGTAGGACGCTTAACCGACTGAGCCACTCAAGTGCCCCAGTATTCTTTGTTTTTTAAAACAATTTCAGGCTCTTAGCAAAAGCAAGTATTTTTTCAAAAGTGAATTTCAAAAGTAATTTGAGGAAATCTTCTCACTCTTGAATATCCAAGAAGTTGGGTTTTAGTTTGGTTTAAACTTAATAGTGTTTTGTCAGGCCAATGGGATGGTGCATTAAGAGCCGTCCCTAATTTGGGGGCCCCACAGAAGAGTTAACCTTCAGCAGAATTCAAAATTAGTAGATGTAGGGAAGTTATTAAACTGTACATGGTTATTACATAACCTCAAATAAATCAGTGTAATATTAGCTGAAATAAGTATATTGTCAGGGGTCAGAGTTAATTAACCTCAAGTTATAAGTTGGGAAATTTAGAGGTGAAATTGAGACTCTTCCAATAATTGACTCTAAACTGGGTGTGTTTTCCCCCTCTAGACTTCACTTTCTTTCTTTCTTTTTTTTTTTTTTTATAATGTTTATTTTTGAAAGAGAGAGAGAGAGAGTGGGCAAGCAGGGAAGGGGCAGAGAGGGAGACCAGAATCCAAAGCAGGCTCCAGGCTCAGCTGTCTGCTAGAACTCGATGCAGACTCAAACTTATGGACCATGAGATCATGACCTGGGCCGAAGTTGGACACTTAACCAATTGAGCCACCCACGTACCCGTGGACTTAATTTTTAATTAACAGTGATTATGTGGCTAATAATGTTTCTTTGCAAGGTATTTTTTACTTAAATCCAGTGGTCAGTGATTTGATTTCCAAAATTTGAATTCTTTTGTATTTTAAGGTAACCAGCTGTACTTGGATGTTTTTAGGTTCAAGGTAAGGATCCATCAGTGGAAGTCACACAGGACCTCATTGATGAATCAGAAGAAGAACGATTTGAAGAAATGCCTGAAACCAGTCATCTGATTGACCTGCCCACATGTGAACTCAATAAACTTGAAGAGATTGCTGACTTAGTTACCTCAGTTCTCTCCTCACCTATCCGTAGGGAAAAGCTGGCTCTGGCCTTGGAAAACGAAGGCTATATTAAAAAACTACTGCAGCTGTTCCAAGCTTGTGAGAATCTAGAAAACACTGAAGGCTTACATCATTTGTATGAAATTATTAGAGGAATCTTATTCCTAAATAAGGCAACATTGTTTGAAGTAATGTTTTCTGATGAGTGTATCATGGATGTCGTGGGATGCCTTGAATATGACCCTGCTTTGGCTCAGCCAAAAAGGCATAGAGAATTCTTGACCAAAACTGCAAAGTTTAAGGAAGTTATACCAATAACAGACTCTGAATTAAGGCAAAAAATACATCAGACTTACAGGGTACAGTACATTCAGGACATCATTTTGCCTACACCATCCGTTTTTGAAGAGAATTTTCTTTCTACTCTTACATCTTTTATTTTCTTCAACAAAGTTGAGATAGTCAGCATGTTGCAGGTAAGTAAACTAAAGTGTTCTTATATTATTTTAGGTATTCTCCTTAATAGTTAAAGCTGGTGTTCATTCCTTTTTGAAAGTTTTCTTTAGTTTACTTTAAATGTACTATTGAGCATAGAAAATAGAGCTTTATCTCATTTTTTTTTTTTTAAGTATTTTTTATTTTGAGAGGGAGTGCGTTTACTAGTGGAGAGAGGGGCAGAGAGAGAGAATATCCCAAGCAGGCTCTGCACTGTCATCACAGAGCCTGTCGTGGGGCTCAGTCTCACAAACCATGTGATCACAACCTGAGCCAAAATCAAGAGTTGGATGCTTAACCAACTGAGCCACCTAGGTGCCCCAAAGGAAAGAATCCTTTCATAATGTGACCTTTTAAATTTTTAAGTGTCCTATCATGTAAATTTTTTTAACTTCATCTTTGCATGCATTTAGAAAATTGTAAAATATATATGACAAAATATTCATCATTTTAACCTTTTTTTATGTATACTGTTCATAGCATTAAGTACCTTCTCAGTGTTATGCAACCATCACCATTGTCCATTTCCAGAACTTTTTTATCATCCCAAACCAAAGCAGCTGTTTCTAAGATTATTTTTAGTCCATTTTGTGAGATCTAGTTATTATTGGAGGGATAGTACATATGAATGTGTGTGCTTAAAGTTTTCCAAATAATTCAAATGTGTAGTCAGCACATCTAAATTAACATTTGTTAATTTTCAGGAAATGATAACTAGATTATTTGCTGTGTGAGGTTGGTTTTAATCTGTCTCCTTGAGTTGTAAAATAGTTTATACCATGTTTAGTATGTTAATCCTTTATACGCTAACAGTGTAATAAGGAGGAATTTGAAGATTTTCCTTTACTTGTGGTAGTATACTATACCCACAGTTTCCTACATTACTGTCTTTGTTATGTCCATATCGCTGAATAAGTTTCTTGAGCAGCTTCTTTTTTTTTTTTTTTTTTTTTTAACGTTTATTTATTGTTTTTGGGACAGAGAGAGACAGAGCATGAACGGGGGAGGGGCAGAGAGAGGGAGACACAGAATCGGAAACAGGCTCCAGGCTCCGAGCCATCAGCCCAGAGCCCAACGCGGGGCTCGAACTCACGGACCGCGAGATCGTGACCTGGCTGAAGTCGGACGCTTAACCGACTGCGCCACCCAGGCGCCCCTTGAGCAGCTTCTATATACATAGTGTAGTAGTGGTTCTCAAGTGTGTTCTAGGGGCTCCTAAAGCCCTTTCAGAGTTCTGTGGGGTTTTTCCCTTTCCAACTTGTCAGTGTGAGGCTGTATTTTCTTCTTGTACTTCATAATATTGTATTGCAACAGATTGAATGTCAAAGAAGATGTGAGAATGTAGTTTTCTTCTATTAAGCCAAACATTACAGAGATTTGCAAAAATGTAAAACAGAGCCACTCTTTTTTCTAAATTTATAAAATTTTTCATAAATATATTTACATAAACTTATATCTTATTTTTAAAACAAATTAGTAAATGTTTTTAAATGTCTCCGTTTTTGTTGTCAGTATTGCCAAACATAATCCACATAATAAAACTCTCTGGGGTACTCCATAAGGTTTAAGAGTTTAAGAGATCCAGAGACAAACAGTTGAGAGTTTCTGACTTAGTACTTAGCTCTTAGTTGTGAGATTCCGTTTTATGATGTTAACAGTCATCATTCATCTTTCTGTTGTTACTTTACTTTTTGTATAGGGTTTACTTCTTTAGATCATGCTTTCACCTAGCAGTTTTCCTTATTCCACAGTAATAAGTATAAGGGAAAACAGACTTATGCATCGGGTTCCATTTGTTATACATGAGACCTGCTTTTTAAAACCATTTGTACTATACAATTCAGGGTGCCATTTCACTTGCTGACAGAAAAACAGTTACAGTCTCAGGAGTTTGGAAATAGACCTACAGTCAATATAGCTGATGTAAAGAAAAGAACCCAGTGACAGAAGCTTAAGTGCAGAAGCTTTCAAATGACTGCTTTGACATCAGAAGGGGTTCCAAATCCATAATAATAAATCATAAATGCCTTATATGCTTAAAAATTATGCAAACTAATCTGTAAGTATTTGAACTCTTTATGTCAGTTTATATATTTTCTCATAGATCTATTTGTAAAGGCTATAATTATGTAAATCAAGCATAGCTTTAAGAAAAGAAAGTCTTACTCATTTCTGGTCTGTGAGATACATTTATGAAGTAGATACTGTGAACTACCTGTTGCATATCTAAGGTTTAGCACTTAGTTATCTCTTCATTTCAGCAGTGATGCTGAATTCTGTTTTCTGTTCTCAACAGTATGTGAAAAGAAAAGAATTATGATTATGGTGAGTGACCTCTAAAGGCTCATTTCCTAAAGCCCAACTCTGAGGTTTCCATGTAGAAATTTTTTGGCTAAGTATTAGATGTTTCCAGATACCCTTCTAGCTAACTAGGATATGTATCTATAGCTTCTTAAATGAGTATTGGCCTACTGTTGTATGAGTTACATAAGCAAGTGCAAATGTAAAGATTGTATCTATCTGGACCAAAATGAGTTAGTGCAAAGGTACATAACATAACTCCTAGCCTAAATTAGGGTAATTAACTGAGAAATTACATGAAAGCACTTACTGTGGTCACTGGCTCCTGGTATGTACTTTAATACATGTTGAGATTCTCTAAAGCTTGATTAGGGCATAAGAGTTTAGTTAACCTGAATTTTCTAGCTAATTGCATATCAAAATCCCGTGTGCCCAGAATTGAAATTTATACTTAAAAATGTTTTTTATGAATTAAATCCCTAAAACCAATAAAGTGAGGTTATTTTCACACAGCTACAGATTAAAGTCCTTTTCAAAACAAGAAGTTTTAACTTCCTTCACTAGAAATGATTGAGGATAGGTATCTCAAATGTTGACATTTTAATACATTACATGTTATCTCCACTATTCCATAAATAAGAATTGAGCTGAACACAAACCCAGTAAAATCAGTGGTTTTATTTCTTGTTTAACATATTTTGTGGATTTCAGCTTACTAAAAAAGAAATTTCTAAACTTTCATCCCACTTACTAAGGAGATATGGTAAAATCTCTTCATGCCTTTAAGGAAAAATTTACAATAATTCGGTTCTTCATTTTGTTTCAGAAGTTTTTGGATTCATGTAAGAATTTAACATATTACATTTTATCTTACTAGATTTGGCGTAGTCTAGTTTGTGTGTGTGTTTTACTTTGGTTTGTTTCATTACTTTGAACTAGTTAGAAATCTGTCCTGTAGTCTATTTTACATGGTGAGAGTAACAAAAACCAGATCGTGCAGGTGACCTGGATTCTAATAATTTTTTTTAAATGTTTATTTGTTTTTGAGAAACAGCACTAGTGGGCAAGGGGCAGAGAGCGGGGGACACAGAATCCGAAGCAGGCTCCAGGCTGTGAGCTGTCAGCACAGAGCCCGACACCGGGCTCAAACTCACAGGCTGTGAGATCATGACCTGAGCCTAAGTCGGCCGCTTAACCGACTGAGCCATCTGGGCGCCCCCGTGACCTGGATTCTAAATCCATCTCTGTCACTAGCCCTTTAGATAATGTCCACTCTTTGGGCATCAGTCTTTTGAAATTTAAAATTGGACTAGGCAATCTCTGTAATCTCTTAAAGTCTGATCTAATTCCAACTTTCTGTCTTTACATGAGTCTAGTAATGGTGGATGGGTTCTGGGTTTGGGTTTTTTGTTTTTTAAAGTAAACTCTACACCCAATGTGGGCTCAAACTCACGACCCCAGGATTAAGAGTTGCATACTCTACCAGCTGAGCCAGCCAGGTGCCCCCGGGATTTGGGAGTTTTGAGCACGTGCCTGTTTAATTCAAAGAAAAGTTTGATTCACTTTTTTAAAAAAGGCCCCCTTTTTCCCCATAAGGTTTTGTTGTGTAATTCAAAAAGACAGCCACACACAATTTGACTGAAAATAGTTACAAAGGCTTTTCGGGGTGCCTGGGTAGATCATTCGGTTAAACTTCAGACTCTTGGTTTCTGCTCAGATCATGATCTCATGGTTCGTGGGTTTGAGCCCTGCTTTGGGCTCCACACATTGCAGAGCCTGCTTGGGATTCTCTCTCTCCCTCTCTTTCTGCCCCTATCCTGCTTGCTCTCTCTCTAAAAATAAACTTAAAAAAATTTTTTTTTAAACAAAGGCCTTTGTGAAAAAGAAGAACTGAAGTGATCTAAAGAGACTAGTTTAATTGGAGAACCAGGTATTTAGGGGGAGACATTACAGTTATATTTATGAAGCACTTTAAGCTGTCAATTAATTGCTTTTTTACTAGTGCACTGAACAGAGTGCTTTTGTAGAGTATTACAAGAATAAGATTAGAAATCAGAAAAAATATATATACCAGGAATTAGAAAACATTCTCCTAGCAGACGCTAATACTTGAAATTCCCTCCAAAATACATTATGCAATTCTAGCTTTCAGCACACAAATAATGAATCATGTAAGAAATTGCATTTATCAAAGAAATGGAACTATTTTCTTATGAAAATATTCTTTAAAAAGTTAAAGATCCTTAGAGAAGAAAGGAGGATTTAATCTGAGAAAGATGCAAGAAGAAAAAAAAATTATAAAAGGTTTAAGTGGAGGTAAATGTGTATTCACCAAAACCTAAAATGTTGAGATAAAAAGTATTTAGAAAAAGTGATTTGAGGGATAAGTATAAGATTGCATATGCAGTTGAATTCTCTCAGAAATAGATGAGTCAGGCCATAGTATATAAGGTCTAGAAGTCAGCAAAATAGAGAACAAAACAAACACCATTCTGAGTCAGACTAATGAATGGGTTTGTCTCTCAGTATTCTTTAAGTAACACTGATGGATGGTTAGTGGGAGAGTATGTTACATCTTCTGTGATTGTATCTAGTAGTCTTCATTCATTTTTTTATATATGCTTTATCTTATTTTTTTTAAACTTATTTGAGAGATTGAAACTGCTTCACAGATAATCCAAGCAAAAAGGCGGGTATTTAAGGTACATCCTTAACATGTTATAATTTGAATTTTTTGTCAACCAATAAGTCAAAAATTCTAAGAACATGCTACTTTAATTAAAGTTAATACAAATTGTATTTCATAAAAGTGAATTTTAAAAATAAGTGAAATTTAAAAGCACAATATTTTTTAGCAGATCTTGATGGATCTCCACAAAGTGGATTTCAATATTCATGTCATTTTTTTCCTTAGTAATTTAATAGTCCACTCTTATTGTGGAAAACTAGAAAATAAAGATAAGCAAAAAAATTGCTCATAATCTATCACCAAAAGATAATCACAATTAACATTTTAATGTTTCTCCCTTTTAGACTTTAGACACAAATTTATATTAAAAATAAGATTATACAGTATGTACTATACTGTATTTTTGTTTGTCCTTGTAAACAGTGCTTAGAGAAATTAACATATATCTGCCTTTTAATACCTCAGAGTCATCAGTGTGAAAAGCAATTATTGTAGTGCTTTATCATTTCACTGTGTCCTTGGGGACCACAAGAAAATATAAGCCTGTACCCCAAATAACCCTAAATTATATATCATGAGTTCTTGTGTTTTAAAAGGTTTTGTAGTCCAGTCTTACTGCTGCCAGAATTCTGTCTCTTTACTGTTGTCCCTGTGCCGTATTTGTAATTCATTTTTCTAATCTGCAGTGGACCGACAATGAACTCTTCAAACGTGTTTGAATTACATTTAAATTAAGAATAAATAAATAGATAGACCCTGAGAAGGACCTACAGTTTCTCTCAGTTAAAATGCATGAGTTTTGGGGCACCTGGGTGGCTCAGTCGGTTAAGTATCCAACTTTGCCTCACATCATGATCTAATGGTTAATGAGTTTGAGCTCCACATGGGGTTCTATCCCCCCTCTTTCTCTATCCCTCCCCCGTTCATGCTCAGTCTCTCAAAGATAAATAAATATTTTAAAAAACTAAACTAAACTAAAAAAGTGAGTTTTCATGCATTACCTAGAACAACTGGTTATTTTTGGTCTCCAAAGGATTCTTCATAGCTGAGGTTTCTGGTTAAATGAGGTATTAGTGTATGTATAACTAATAATAAATGGTATAATCAGGGTTGAAAACTATAACATGAATATGCCCTGGAATTTTAAGGTTTATGATGAAACTATTAGGTTTTCAGCTACTTTTATTATAATTTGTGTAAATCATGTAAGTGAGTATAACTTTATACTTTTGTTAGACTTTCATAGTAATTATTTCTTCTTGTGTAGGAAGATGAGAAGTTTCTGTCGGAAGTTTTTGCACAATTAACGGATGAGGCTACAGATGATGATAAACGGCGTGAATTGGTAAGTTATTTATTCTTGAAATTCAAACCTTTATTTTTTTTTTTAAGTTTATTTATTTTGAGAGAGAAAGTGTGAGTGGGGGAGGGGCAGAGAGGGAGAGAGTAAGAATCCTAAGCAGGCACTGTGCTATCAACACAGAGCTTGATGCAGGGCTCCAACTTGTGAACGATTAGATCATGACCTGAGCCAAAGTTGGACACTTAAACCAACTGAGCCACCCAGGCGCCCCTAAATTCAAACCTTTGAAGTGCACTTACTCTTGGCTAATACAACTTTTAATATTGAATTTGTTAAGAGAGAATTTTTTATAATTAAGATGAAAAGTACACATTTATTCTATAAAATGATTACTCTCAAAGTTTCTCAAACTTATTGTTTTGTATATTTGCCAGTTTCCTAAAGTATTTTGATGTGTGTTTTTTTCCTCCAGTGAGGGAATTCATGTGCTTAAAAATCCCCAAATTAGATATGGGGTTTATGTTAGGACACAACTACAAACTCATACATTTTTATGGTTGTAGATACATTATAGAACGGCTCTTTTCAAAAAACAAAAGGTAAGGACAGTACTTCTTGAATACATGAATGATAAGTAATTTGGTTCTTGGAAATGTTTTTTTCTTTTGAATGTATGTATTTTCTGAGATACGAACCATGCTTTGGAGGAAGAGAATAATGATTGCTACTTACCAGCAGTTTGTCATTTTCTTTAAACATTATAATCAGGTACTTGGGTTTTAAAAAGTAATGAGAGATTACAGGTTTAAATTAGCCAAGTCATCTTGGTGTAGGTAATAGCCTACTCAGTTTTCTCATTTATAAAATTAGGCCTTTAAACTCGGGAATCTTTTAATGTCCTTTCCAGTTCTTATAAATGAAATTGTACTTTTGAGAGCTGTCTGAGAACCCAGCTACCATTTATTTTATATAGCATGTTTCTACAAAAATACATGCTCTAATTCAAAATACATACCTTACATGACATTTTTACAACTGAATCATGAATTGAAAATACTATATGTATATTCACTCTGAGACTCCACATACAACATGTACACTGTATGCCTTGGGAGAGTTCATCGTTCATTTTGTGGAAATAATGCGAAGTTTAGTTTTAGTGGGATGCTAGTTTTTAAGATGTTCTTTACAGGTTTTGAGGGGCCAAGATACCCTGAAGAGGCAAGGTCCTTCAGAAGGGCATATCATGCTATGGTATATCACATTAAAGTGAGCCCAAGTTTGCTGTTATGTGTGTCAACTTCTCACTATACTTTCTAACGTTGCAGGTTAATTTTTTCAAGGAATTTTGTGCATTTTCTCAGACATTACAACCTCAAAACAGGGATGCATTTTTCAAAACTTTGGCAAAATTGGGGATTCTGCCTGCTCTTGAAATTGTAATGGTAATTATCCAACTTCTTTTCATGTTTTTGAAGTTGTGAATTTCTCATACCTTTATATTACATATGTGAAAGTATTTATTATACTAATGCATATTGAATTGTATAGTTTAGGTTATGATTCACTTGATAGTGAATTACTACAAATGTGTTCCATCTTCAGATTTTTATTAACTTGAATTTGTAATATTAATATGTAAGCACTTGGATATAATATGGCTTCAAGTGAATTAAAATCCCACGTGTGTTTTCAAGACTATTCTCTTCTGTAGCAATATTAAGTATGTTTTATAGAAATTTTTAAAATGTCTTTCCTTTTTAGACCAGTGAGAGTAGAGTAAGGGCAGACTGGACCAAGGCAGCTCATTCTGCAATATGGGTTAGGGCAGTGGTTCTCATATATATCTGTTTATGATTTTTATCCATTGGTAGTGTATGAAAAATTAAAAATATTTATTATTTCATTTTAAAATGATAAACATAAATAATATAACTTATAAAAATAATTTTTTAGAACAAAAAATTTTAGTGGAAGAGTGGCATTTCATTTTTTTTTTTTTTTTTTTTTTTTTTTTTTTTTTTTTTTTTTTTTTTTTTTTTTTTGGCAATCTCTTTAACATTTGGTTTAATAGAAGACAGCGAGATTCTCATAGCAACTTCTGCATTTAATTTGTTGTGATATCATATGTCTTATAGCCTCTGGAAAACCCCACTATACTTGTGTTATGCTGAGAGTGAAAAGGGCTGATAATGCCCTAGGATTATTTATTATGAAAATAGTTTTTAATTTCATGTGGTTCCTGAAAAGGGTGTTGGACACCTCACCAGGATTCCCTGGACAGCACTTGGAGAACTGCTGAGTTAGGGAATATGTTCAGAATCACTTGGAAGATTTTGTAACTTACGAGTCATATATCCTTCATGTTATGGATCAGTACCTTAGAAAACTAAGTTGTGGAAAAAGAGTGAAAATACCCAGTATTTTCAAAAGCATCCTCTATTAGGAGAGTCATAAAAGAATCAGTTACTAAGGAGTAACTGGCAAATAAATCCAGGACCAAAGATGGATTCTGGAAAGTTATAGAGTCTTAACCAGGTAACATCATTCACATTTTGCATATATTTAAATCAAAAAAAATGTCTGTACAGTATTTATAAAGTATTTCTTTATAATCCCATGTTGATTCTTACATTTAAATTCCCTGAATATTTATCTTCGTGGTGGTAAAAACTGGCACAAACTAATCATTGAGCTGCTTAAAAGTTTTTTATATTTGTAAAATAAAAGGAAGTATAGGATGGAGAGATTATACATTTTGAATCCAGTCCAATGTCTAATTCCAAAAAGTTGGTGTGTATAGATTTGGGAAAGAAAAGGAACACAGCACAGTTTTTGTTAACAGTCTCTAAGTAACCTAATTTTCCTTTTATTAGGGCATGGATGATTTGCAAGTTAGATCAGCAGCTACAGATATATTTTCTTATCTAGTAGAGTTTAGTCCATCTATGGTCCGAGAATTTGTAATGCAAGAAGCCCAGCAGAGTGATGATGTAAGTAATAATGCTGTGATTATATGTGAATTACCTGTAGAGTAGTGTTGGCATACTATTGAGAGAAAAGGTTTAACTACAGTCTTAATCTTCAGTGAAGCAAAATAGTAGATTTCTGATCATTTGTGACATTAGCAAGCCCAGAATATGTGGCATTTGATTTATTTTACAAACTGTATTCAAACTCGTATTGAGATAAATATATTACAACAGAATCGAATTATTTAAAAAAGTTCAAGTGCTAATGAGGTATAATTTCAAACCTTTAGCTCAGACACTTACATGGTAAAACTAGCAAATTGTTTTCCCTTGTTTAAATGTGTCTTTTTTTTTTTCCATGTGAATGAATGTTTAATGAGACCAATGTGTTTTCCCACTATGGAAATACTTAAACTTTCCCTTTAAACTGTTTAAGAACGAAATGAACATAGAACTATAATTTAAAGTAGTCTTTCTCATATCAAATATGTTTTAGTATTAAGAAGAAAATGAATATAATTATGTTCCTTCTTAAAGAAGATTTTGATTCCCATTGTATGATTTCTCATTGCATGAGTTACTTTTGAATTAAAATACAGTTGCTGTTTTGTGTTTAATCTTTTAATTTCTCCTTAGATTTTTACATTCTTTGTTAGATATTTCCAGGGTATTTCTTTTTAAAGTCATTTTATTTTAGAATCAGTTTGAGCTAATGCTACAGTTTTAGGCAGTAGAAGAAAGAGGAAAAAATCTTTAAGTATATTTTAAGGTTTTTTTTTATTAAACCCAAAAGGTGTTAAATCTGACTTTAAAGATAAAGTCAGATACCTAGTTTATTAGTTTATAATCTCACTATTGGTATGTGTATCTTAGTGCCAGCTTTACAGAAAGTAACTCTGAAATTAACACTCTTAATTGCTGCATCCTCAGTGATATGCATTGATTAAGGACATCCATCATAAAATCTCTTCAGACGAAGAGAATAATAAACTAATTTTTAGGATTCTTTACCCTGAAAGTTTTTGTTTTCTTTAGAAATTCTTCCTTGTTTACATTTAATTGATGGATGAGACTTAGAGAAGCACTTACTGATTTTTAACTATGAAAAGTCCCTTTCTCAGTTTTTCATGTTGATAGAATCCTAATCTTTAAGGTCTTTCATTTCTCCAAATTTTCTGAGATCTAGCAGTTTAACAGTTTAAAAATGTGTTGCCTTCAAATAGTTTAGTTAGCCCACAAAAGAGAATAGATTTCTCTCTTTTTTTTTTTTCCTTCAAAATTGAGGATTCTACAATTCTACATTGGGTTCCTGGTAACCTTTAAAAAGAGAAGACTTAAACTGTGTATTTGGTGGGCAGTTGATATTTTGATGGCCTTTTAAAATAAATGCACAGCATTCAAACTTTTCTTTCCAGTATTATGGAGCAGATTTCGTTTTAGAACTTGGATTACATATTAAAATATGTGTTGAGACACAGGAAAATTAACATTTTTTACCATAGTCATTATTTCTAAGCTAGAAGGATAGATTTAGTGATAATTGCTGTCTTTTTATTCTGCCACAGATTTCACATATTTTTATGTTAATGCCCTCCGAAACATTTAGTAAAACTTATTTTAGGATATGACTGGGTAAGTAATCCAGCTATTATTCAACCACTTATTTTGGCAGGTATTTGCATTGTATTTCTCACTTAGGAGTATATTCATATTGTTAATTTTTTTAGGTATGATAATAGCATTGAGTTTTTTTTTTTCTTCTCAAGAGTCCTTATCTTGTAAAGATTTATACTGAAATACTTAATTATATATGAGGAATTTACTTTAAAATAATTCTGGGAGATATAATTTGCCTTAATAAAGTTAAAAATACATAAGCTAATGTCTTAGAATTAACTGTTCAATATATTTTTTTTTTAATGAAGAGCTATTTTTGCATTCTTCTAACATGTCAGAATGGATTAAAAGAAGTATTATTTCTCTAATACATGCAGGCCTTCAAGTTGCAGAACAAATTTCACATGCATTTTTTTCTAATAATTCTTACATTCACATTAAAAAAAAAATGTTTCCACAATATCCATCAGTTATTTTTATTCTACTTCAGAATAATGTTCCCACTCCTGTCATTCTTTTTTTCTTGTTTACTATATTCATGGAATCTAAGATACATGGATGCTAATATTTTTTTATCTTACCAGAGAGTGCTAGTGGAAAATATTTATTTGACTTTGTCATGGTTGCTACTTGGCTGATAGTGACTGTCTAATACCGTGGATTATAAAATGTATTTCAATATCATACTTTAAAAACCAGTATGTGCTTCTAAGAATAGTGTGAGGTTGAAGTGTGGTAATGAAACCAATGAGGATATCATTTCTCTAAAACTTTGATTTAGAAATTATTAAAACCTTGAAAAAGTCTCCCTGAAACCTTGGTTAAATTCACTTCAATGTTGGTCTTTAGGTGAAGGATAGCAAAATTTTCTTAAAAGGCCAAAACATAAATATGACTTGGTGGGCCTTATGGGCTCTGTTGCAGACTCAGCCTTGCCGTTGTAGTATGAACTGTCTGTAGATGGTTTGAAAACGAATAGTATAGCTGTATTCTAGTAAATGTTTTACTGTAAAAATTTATTTTCAAAGTAGGCAACGAGCAAAGTAGTTTTGTAGTTTGCCAACCCCTGACTTACACCCCTTTCTTCGAATATTGTAGGTCAGTGATGGTGGCATTTAAAGGCTGACTCTGAATTGAAGGTTACAAATGCAGAAGCTTCTATGGCAGTGTAAAAAGAAGTAAAAATAGGGGCGCCTGGGTGGCGCAGTCGGTTAAGCGTCCGACTTCAGCCAGGTCACGATCTCGCGGTCCGTGAGTTTGAGCCCCGCGTCAGGCTCTGGGCTGATGGCTCGGAGCCTGGAGCCTGTTTCCGATTCTGTGTCTCCCTCTCTCTCTGCCCCTCCCCCGTTCATGCTCTGTCTCTCTCTGTCCCAAAAATAAATAAATGTTGAAAAAAAAAAAAATTTAAAAAAAAAAAAAAAAAAAAAAGAAGTAAAAATAAAAAAGAAAAGAAAAGAAAAAAGACCATAGGAATAAGCAGGTTTTAATGGGAGGGAGTCACTGGGCCCTCTTAATTAAAACTGTAAGTTTAAGGGGGAGCAGATTTAAAAAAAATGTGTATCTATAAATTTAAGACGGTGTTCTCTTGAATAGATTTTGGTGCTCCAAGATTGATACATATTCACTGGAGTTACTATATAATGGTTTATTTGTGCATCAGGTCATCATTTAGATTTTGAAGAAGGAATTTTCCAGTAGTTTTTTTTGTTTTTGTTTTTGTTTTTGTTTTGTTTTACATCTTCATTATTTTGCTGCACTTGTTTGAGCATGAGTTTTTTGTTTTTTGTTTTTTCCTAGCCTAATAAATGCCATTGTTGGAGAAGCAGATTTAGGAAAAATGGATTTGTACTCACAGTATTTTAATGCCAGTAAAGAACTCTAGCAAACAGAAACTAGACAATTCAACTCTAGCTGTCTTGAATTTTGAAAGAGTCATCCAGCTTACAGTGATTTTCTGTTCCCTTTGTTCTGCCTTTGGAGAAATAATGGGCCTTGGTGGGAAAGTTAATAAGGGAGAGTTAATAAGGTCACTTAGATAGCTACTTATTGGCTATACCCCAGTTAGAGAGACTGGGTCCTTTGATTCAGCTATTCCTTCTGTTCACCAGGGCTTGCTCTATTGTATTAAGAAATGAAACATGCCTTACAGACAACTTACAATGTTGGTAATACTTTTAGTTAATTGATGAATGTTCAACCATTCATTCTTTTGCCTAGGAGCTATTTGTTCATTGTTTCTGAAAGATACTGTTACTTTTGAGTGGATACAGTCATGCACTGCAGTAGACTAATTTTAATTGTTTACAGAGATGGGTATACCTCTGGAATAAGACTGTCTAGCTGTTGTATACTGCTCTGTGAGACAGAATCTCTAAATCTGTGGTTAATTCTAATACTATAGAAATTGATTTTTACTTAGTTTGGCAGAATCCCGTAATATAATAAAATAATAATAATAGAACCTAACCTGTATCATAAGGCTTTTTTTCCCCTGCCTCTCAGTGTCTTTCACTGCCTGATCTATTACCACTTGTAGCTTCATATATTTTGTCCAGCTTTTTGTTGTTGTTCCAGGTAAAAGACAAAAATTTAGTTCCTATCACTCCATCTTGACCAAAAGCAGAAGTCTGGTTTTGTTTTTATTTTCAGAGCAAACTTTAGTGCAAAAGTCTGGCCCTTATCACAGAATTGGAAAGTTTGTGGATTCATGTCTCTTCTGTGTTTTCTTTAATAAATTATTTTTGTTTCATTAAAGTGACACATGGTAGCATTAAAAAATAAACACATCTGACACAAGGATTCAGAAGCCAACTTGTTTTAAGACTTTTCATTGTATGTGGCAGTTAGTATTCTTGATTGTAAGAAATTCCCATATTTTGCCATTTTCTCCCCTGCATCTTTTGTTTTTTTGTCTAAGTGTGATTGTTTTTTTCCTTTTCTTTAACAATGAAACTGTAATAATCATTTTAAAGAGTACTCTCTAGTTTCTGTGATGATGGAAATGTTGAGACCTGTGACAGAAGAGGAGGATAAGGAGTTAATGTATTACTTAAAAATGGCTTTGGCTTCATATATCAGAAAAACCAGGAATGGCATCAGCAAGATGACAGAATAGGAAGTTCCAGGTCTCATCCCCACAACAGAAACCAGTTTAACAACCATTAACAGATAAGAATGCCTCCATGAGACTTCCAGAGTCCAAGTTAAAGGTTGTAGCATTTTAGTGGAGCACGGAAATTAGAAAAGATGCATTGGAAAGAGTAAGAACTGTTTCACTTTACCATTGTCACTTCTCAACATAGCACAGCACCAGAAGAGATCCTCTGGGCCTCTCTGGGGAAAGGGAGAGCAAAGTGAGTGAGAGTCTGACATCCCCAGCCTTTCAGAACATTACCCATGAAGGT